TCTTCATGGTATTCAGGTCAAATATACCTTTTTTCCCCTGCATGGGGTACAGAATCTTCTTGGTCCTGAAGTTCATATCTGGTATTGGATTGGGGGAGCTAAAGGCTGCTTAGGCATATGTATACAAACACGTACGGGTACACCTTCCAAACCCTAGTCTCAGGATGCTCCCACCACCACCACCCTCGCAGTCTCTGCAGAGCTTGCTTCTTATCTACTGTCACTAGCAGTAGATAAATTGCTACTGTGGAAGCCCTTTCTGTCTGTGGAGATGTATAAGCCCACTGCAATGCACCTTTCCTACTTAGCAGTTACGTACTCTAGTCTATTCAAGAATTATGTACATTTCTTTCATCAGAAGTTCTGGTTAAGGTAAAAGAGGAGAGAAGGACAAGTACACTAATTCCTAACCCTTGGGGTGGGGGGAAGGACATTGGTTGGGTATCAAAGCCAAAAACAATTTTTGCAAGCTCTTCTAACTACATCCTGCTCCATATAATCATTGCCACTGTGGCAGATGGCAAGAGCAATAATGGAAGGGGTAAGAATTAGTATACTGTATCTTGGTCTCTCCCTCTGTGTGTTTACTGTATATATAATTGGAATACCTGAATAAGCCAGATACAGATGGATATATGCCAAAAATATGCACTCTCCTACGTCTTGCCTAAACCCAATATATCTTTCTCCATCACACTCCCACATCAAAATTCTGGACTGAGAAGTTGTCTAGAGCCATCTCTAGTGTACTGAAAGCTGCGTGGTGGCTGCTTCTGCATGACTTTATTACCAGCTGTTTGGGGATAGAAGATCAGCTGTTTATCACCAGCTGTTTGGAGCAGAGTGGCCAGGTAGCATAGGAAAAAACCACAGTAACAATGAGCATGGTGCTTCTGTAGTTCTTCCCCCAAGATTCTGTCCTTCCTATGTAGTTGAGTTCTGTATCCTTACTATATCAGAGCAGTGTAGGATGGTTTGTTTTGAGAGTAGGAACTGCACTGCTCCCTTAATTTGTGACTTATCTGTAAGAGGCATGCCAGAGTAAGGTTACATCATGGCAGAGTAATTTGTTATTTTTAAAATGGAAAGTTGGCTTAGTCCAACTCTCTTTATGAAAATCCAGTGATAAAACGCCAGTAAATCTGCCACGTCTGGAATATTTTGGTTTGAATGCCAGAGGTATTTTTTTAACTTGAGCAGATGTGGACTGTTTTATCTGATATTTCCTGTTTTAGATTCTGTGAAATAAGTTGTTGCTTGATAGTTCTTTCTTTTTCCTTTTCTGTTAGTGTAAAACTGTGAGTACTTAGTTTGTCATATTTCCACCCTTAAAATTTTCTAAGTATTTTTTTAAATGCAAAGGTCTAAATCCACTTGTTGGTCCCAGCTAGAGCAATTTCATTAAAAGATTGGGAATTAAGTCAATATGTACTGTATGTAAATGCTATTGATTCAATAGATCTACCCTAATTGGGACTAACTACTGGGTTTACTCAAATAATTTTCAAGACATTCTCTTTAAAAATCGTTTATAATTAAATGCTTTGTTCTTCTATAATATGGCTTGGAGACCAGTCTGCATTTTACAAGCACAGCCTCATTCTTTTTCTTTTCGATATCCCAGATACCTCACTCCACGTGTATCTGGATATTCACTGTGTACCTTCTGACTTACTGTTCTTATCATACCATTACTGATCAGAAAGAAAATGCATCTTTAATATCTTCTTGTTTTACTCCATTTTACAATAACACACCAGCAGAAGTATACATACTGTTTCCTGCCTAGTAAATTAACATGCAAATATAATTAACATTGCTGATTAATCAGTTAAATCTTAAATTAAATTAAAATTAAATGTTTAGCAGACTAGGCTTCTGGTTTAAACTAAGCCAAACCATTGAGTGATGAAGCCCATTCTACTTTGATTGACTCTACTGTGTCTCAGGGATTTTTCCAGCTGTCATTGGCATCACTGGAAAAAAACCAGGAAAAGTGTGGCTAACCAGAGGGGCAAAGGAAGAAGAGACTATGTTTACAGCTTAGTAGAATACGTTTGATCAACTTTTATGTATACAGTATTCTTATCACTCTATACTTGAAAAGCTCATTTGGAATAACTCTACTACTGTCATTCATTTGAAACATTTATTTCAGAAGTGGGCAAAGTAGTGTCTTCCAGATGTTGCTGGACTATGATTCCCGTTGGGCCAAGCCAACATAGCCAATGTGAGGAATGCTAGGAGTTGGTAGTTTGACAGTATCTGGAGGGCTGCATTTTTCCTACAACTTGTCGTTCATCTTTCTGCATATAGTGTTGATGCAACCCGATGATCTACATTGCAAAAATATATATCATAGCTTTTCAGCGATGTCCATACAACAGCTGTAATAAATCAGCAAAACCTTCTCCAGCCACCTGTACAGGGAAAATCCAGGGCTTCTTTTGGGCACAATTAAGTTGCCACTTTAGAAGATGGCATGGGGTGTTTTGGCAGAACAGACCGCATAAATGGATGGGATCTAAAGCAGGGTTTTCTTAGGTGACCTTCGTACACTACTTCATAGTTGTGGTCTTTCTTTATTCCAGCTAAAAAGTGGGAAATACAAATGGTGCACTTGTCCACAAGGAAAGCATGAAGGAGGAGGCTATAGGATAACTAAAACAGTCCATGTAATTTAACACAAAGGGTAATATTTATGATAGTTAAATGTATTTAGTCAAGTCAGTTCTGACCTACAACAGCTCATTCCAGAGTTTTCTAGGTGTGGAGTACTCAGAAGAGGTTTACTGTTCCTTTCTTCTGGGGGCATCCTGGGTCTGTGCCACTTGGCCAAGGCCACACAGGCTGGCTCTTCTCACGGAAGGCACAATGGGGAATTGAACTCCCAACCTCTAGCTGTACAGCCAGATACCTCACTCACTGAGCTACCCAGTTAGGAATCATATATTTATAGATTTTTCCATTCAAAAATGTGGCATAATACATTTCTTTGTCACATTCTAACCTAGCCACTGTAGCAGCTGCCCTTGCAATGCTGGGGACTGACTCTCTTAATACAGCCCAAGCAAGCAGCAAACCTTTGTTGCTTGCATGCGTCTTCCTCGCATAAGCCTGTTTGCTCATTTATGCATATGTAATCCCTGCTAAAATACAATGTTCTTTTGATGGTTTTTTTAAAAGTGATAAATAAAACATAGGTTTACAGCATCTATGTTTTCGTCTTAACCGGATTAACCCAGTGTTGGATAGAACAGAGACAGATTTTGTTCCATTAGATCAGGATTGGGCAAGATGCAACCTGCCGCTGGTAATTATCATTCCAGTTGATGGACTACCATTCCCATGGGCTCTGCCCAGTTGGCCAGTGTAGCCAGTGGTGGGGTATGCTGGATTCTTTGCTCTTCCCAGGATTTTTTCCAGGATTGAGAAATGGAAGACAACTGCCAATTAGGAGACCTTGTCTCCATTAGTGGGAGATTCAGTGCTGCCCTCAAGCAAGGCCTGCCTGCCCACACATCCACATAATGCTCTGCATTGTCTTGGATATCATGCACTTTGGCTTGCATTCCACATGCTTCAGAAGCTATGAAGCCTCATTGTGTTTCTCCCTGTACCTTGCATCTTCCCTCCTCCTTTCAAAGCTATTATTGGCAAGGAATTGTGGCTGGGTTAATATTGCACACCTGATACTATCAGCTTTTGAATGTCTAAAGTACACGTAGCTTTGCTTGTGGGAAGTGCTCTGAATATGAGGCACCTATCTTTTGGCAGAAAGCGACAGCACCTTAGATTGGCTGATGCTAGAAATCAAGTGAGAAGGAAGAGTCGTGGCAACATATCAGAGGACAGTTGTAGCCATCCCTGGACCCCCTAAGCTACCCTCTGGGGTGATGTCCCAGCCCTAATGTTCCAATAAAATTCAATAGACAGGCTTCTGTACATGGAAAAGGAAAGGGTCATCTCACATTTTTCCTCATTCAGCAAAAATATTTGAGCTGGCCCTACTAAACTTTGTGGTCTCTGTACTATTTCAATTCAAGTTACCTGCCTCCTTGTGAAACGTGGAGTGTCCAGTTCATCGGATGTGCTGTGTTTGCTGAGATATTACTTCAGGAATTCTGATGTGATTTCCCCAGTTAGCAGCACCATCTGAGGACTCGTACATGTTGAAAACATATTTCATGGTGCTTAGCCATGTGCATCATAAACACCTGGCTCTGTTATTATCTCCTTTCCAAGGATAATAGCTAATCTAAAGCAAGTTAATATTTTGTAGGCAGAGTTGCAGCGGTGCAATTAACTCTCTGCTGACGATGGCACTGATTTGTGGGCCATTTATGGCAAAAAAGGATGATCCTTGAAAAATGCTAAATCCCTTTCGATGTTATGTACAACACAGAGTCACCATAGAGACCATGTCCAGAAACTGAGGTGAATTTACACCAACATATGCATAATTGTACAAATTGTAGCAGCAAATTCCCACCAGTTAACAGGATCCCAGTCCCATTCCTAGTCACATGGCATGGTGTATGAGCAGGCATGTAGGAGGTAGCTTATTAATTAGCAACAGTTTGCTGACATGGTTTACTGAATTACAACTATGTCTGTATAAACTCACAAGAAGATTCTGGCTCATAGAGGGCATTAGAGCTGCCAGTTTTTTAATCAGGTGTTATAGATCAGTGTGATAATTTTTTTTCCAGAATGTGTAAGTGATGGATAAATATTACATTGTCTACACCTATCAGAGAAAATTGAAAGTATATGTGGCTGTATGTATGGGTTTTACCTGATAACATTAGCAATCTTCTGGCAATAACCTGTAACTAACTTCACACTGAGGCTATTTGTTAGGTCTCAATTTTATTAAAAACACTCAGAAAGTTTAAGGACAAATCAATTCCAAGCTGCAGAAATAAGCAGACAGGATGAAAAATAAGAAAATGACACTTAAGTTTGACACTCTTGTTATTTTTGTCTCTTCCTTTCAGAAAACCCCTACAGCACATGCCATGAAGGAAGAGAATTTTCTTCGGCGCAGGTTCTCACTCTGCCCTGCCGCATCTACTCCTCAGAAAATTGATCCTCGCAAGCTGACTCGGAACTTGTTTTTTGGGGCCGATAATGAAATCTACCCAATCAGCCCAGGTCAGTGTTTACCCCATGAGTTCAGTACTGCCCTGCCCAGCACAGGTGGGCAAAGATTAGATTGGGATCTCCAGGTGGCTTGTGGCACGTCAGCTCATTCTGTCCGCAGATTAAGAATATATAGCATAAATAAGGCAGACCATGAATTAGACACAAAGCTTTGTTTCAGAGTGACTGTGGAACAAGAATTGATTCAGATGTGAAAGCATTTTTATGCAAGGTCTAATTCTGGTGCTGATAATGAATTCCTAGGCTCAGAGCAACCTTGTTTTGCAAATCTGTGTCTGCCTAATGAAACACTTCTTTTCTACCTGGCTTCATTTGGTGGGTATCTGTGGAAAAGCAAAGTAAATCTCATTAGCCTAAAGTTCACCCACCCCTTCCGTACATTGGCTGGACAGCTATCCACACCCACCAAAGTGTGGCAAAGACTGCAGCGGCAGCAGGACCACTACAACTGCTGCCACACAGTTAGGGGCACTGAGTAGAACGCCAAGATCATAAGGGATACATGTTCTGGCTACCATTATTTTTATGGTGGAGTCAGCTGGTACACAGGTATGGGGCCTGCAGCTTCCAGTGAGAGTTGGGATAGGGCATGGGAAGTGATATTAATTGGTGTTCACCTTATGTGTGTGCCTCTTGCATTCTGTTCAGCTGTCTTTCTAAATGTTAGCTTTTTCGACAACAGGGTGATAAATTTAGTAGTAGCATTTTGGGGAGGCACAAAAATGCCTGGGGGAGTTGCCCACCTCAGTGTATAATGTATAGCAAAAAACAGTGTAAATTAAAAATTAAAAAACAAACCATTACATCTTTAAAAGCAGATGGCTTCCTTAGAAGAAAAGAAATGTGTCCCACACACTTTCACTCTTAACATTTGCACTTCTAACAATATTTATACAATGCTTTACTGAAATAATGTAGGCCAGTGGTTGTCAACTTTGGATCTCCTGATGTTCTTCAACTATAACTCCTGGAAATCCTGGCCAGCACAGCTAGTGGTGAAGGCTTCTGGCAGTTGCAGTCCAAGAACAGCTGGAGACCCAAGGTTGGGAACCACTGGCCTACATTATTTCAGAAAAGCACTGTATAAATATTGTATTTGTAGTTGAACCATAGATAAAGCATTATATAAAAATGGTTATAAGTGGCAATGTTAAGAGTTATTTTCACAACAGAATGATACACCAGACCCATATTATTACTCCTACATTAATGGAAAAGTAGGTTCCTGCAAGTTTGGAAAACCCAACAGTGGCCAGAGGATTGGAAAAGATCAGTCTACATCACAATCTCAATGAAGGGCAGTGCCAAAGAATGCTCCGACTACTGCACAATTGCACTCATTCCACATGCTAGCAAGGTTATGCTCAAAATCCTACAAGGTAGGCTTCAGCAGTATGTGGACCAAGAACTCCCAGAAGTACAAGCTGGATTCCGTAGGGGCAGAGGAACTAGAGACCAAATGGCTAACATGCGCTGGATTATGGAGAAAGCCAGAGAGTTCCAGAAAAACATCTACTTCTGCTTCATTGACTATGCAAAAGCCTTTGACTGTGTGGACCACAGCAAACTATGGCAAGTCCTTAAAGAAATGGGAGTGCCTGACCCCCTTGTCTATCTCCTGAGAAGCCTATATGTGGGACAGGAAGCAACAGTTAGAACTGGATATGGAACAACGGATTGGTTCAAAATTGGGAAAGGAGTACAACAAGGCTGTATACTGTCCCCCAGCTTATTTAACTTATATGCAGAATACATCATGCGAAAGGCTGGACTGAAGGAATCCCAAGCCGGAATTAAGATTGCTGGAAGAAATATCAACAACCTCCGATATGCAGATGATACCACTCTGATGGCAGAAAGTGAGGAGGAATTAAAGAACCTTGTAATGAGAGTGAAAGAGGAGAGTGCAAAAATGGCCTGAAACTCAACATCAAAAAAACTAAGATCATGGCCACTGCTCCCATCACCTCCTCGGAAATTGAAGGGGAAGATTTGGAGGCAGTGACAGATTTTACTTTCTTGGGCTCCATGATCACTGCAGATGGAGACAGCAGCCCCGAAATTAAAAGACGCCTGCTTCTTGGGAGGAAAGCGATGACAAACCTAGACAGCATCTTAAAAAGCAGAGACATCACCTTGCCAACAAAAGTCCGAATAGTCAAAGCTATGGTTTTTCCTGTCGTGATGTATGGAAGTGAGAGCTGGACCATAAAGAAAGCGGACCGCCGAAGAATTGATGCCTTTGAATTGTGGTGCTGGAGGAGGCTCTTGAGAGTCCCCTGGACTGCAAGGAGCACAAACCTATGAATTGTAAAGGAAATCAACCCTGAGTGCTCACTGGAAGGACAGATCCTGAAGCTGAGGCTCCAGTACTTTGGCCATCTCATGAGAAGAGAAGACTCCTTGGAAAAGACTTTGATGTTAGAAAAGTGTGACGGCAAGAGGAGAAGGGGATGACAGAGGATGAGATGTCTGGACTGTGACTGCGAAGCAACCAACATGAATTTGACCCATCTCCGGGAAGCAGTGGAAGATAGGAGGGCCTGGCGTGCTCTGGTCCATGGGGTCACGAAGACTCGGAAACTACTAAACAATGACGACGAGGTTCCTGAGGCTGGTATGCAGAGGCTCTTACATGGGCTTCACCACACATGATACGGGGAGGTGAATGATAAGCTGTCCAGGTCTTGTTGAGGGATTTAATAGGAGTGTCTGGGGAAGGTAAAATCTAATCAGAATTACAACAGTGATCGTAGAGGGCAATGATTTCTGGCCAAAACCCTTTACATGTGTGTTTTTTTAAAAAAAACCTCTTTGTAGTTATTTGACCCTATGCGAAAACATGCAGTATACTTATATCACCTATAGGTTTGGTCCTGTGAGTTTCAGATGAGAGGGAGGCTGGTCTGGAGCTGGAAAACAGCATGAAAACAAAGGGTTAATCCCCCTCCCTCTTCAACCCTTCAGTACTGGCATGATTCCTATTAAATGTTTTGCAATTAAACTTATACAAAATTGTTGCAGTATATGTAGGCTATTATGCAAGCAAACCCAGCTGCATTGCTGGGGTGTTGTTGAATATCTCTACTTCCCAGCTGTATATGTCCAATTGTATGATAGATGGCAAGTCAGAAGGATACTTAAATCCTAGTATTGTCTTGCCAGGAGCCCCAGTGAGCTTGCAGGGGATTTTTTTTTTTTTTTTGCACCCCTCTGTTCACCCAGGATCTCAGGTTGTGGCAGAGGTGATCAGTCATGATCACAGCAGACCTCCAAAAGCATGAAACAATCAGGGTAGACTTCCCTCTTTTAGTAAAGACCACTTGAGAGGCAGAACTGATTCTCATTCTGAGCATGAAGCAAGGCAGATCGATTCACACTTGGCTAAAAACAGCCATGACAATTGCTTTGTGTTTGGGTAAGAAGTGGTTAACTGATGAAAAAAGGATTCATGTTCTGGGATTTTCCCTTGCATGGTGTCATTTTGTGAATAGTAGTGAGCAGAAGAGCATATTGTGTAGATCATCTTGACTACTGCCATCGGTGTTGTCAACACTCAGGCTGCTTTTTGTATGTGAAGCTTGGCATCCTTTTTCCTGCTGGCAATATTGTGCGGTAGTATTGGGCCATTTCCTGATGCTTTGAATGGTGGATACAGAAGCACAATATTCCACATTCATAAATTAGAAAAGGTTGTTTTTGTTTGTTTGCTTGCTTGCTTGCTTTAAGAATTTAATATTACCATGCTATGGTTCAATTTAGTCAGTGTATTTTAAAAAATCTTGCCTGATGAAGAGTTTGGCAGTTCTTCAAAGTCTGAATTCATTTTTGTGCCATTTTCACTGATTTAACAAAAGTATTATAAATATTGGTATTTTTCTTGTGATTCCTATACGATTTGCAGGAGGCCTCTGAGGCTTCTAACTATAATGAATATCCTGAAATTCCCTGTCAAGCCCAGTGGTTTGGGGTTCCACTTCCTAAGGACATCTAAACTATAATACTAGCTATCTCTTTTAATGTTAATACACTCGTGGGAGTGTACATGCAGGCAGAAGACAATGATTATGTGGTTTTTCCTTGTTTGCTGTAGAAATAGTTCCCTCTGTAGGATTTTTCTTTTATTTGGAGGTGGCAAGATGTGAGTTCTGAAGCAGCTAGGGAAATATGGGAGTTGAAACATGGGAAATATGTTAAAGCCACAGCGGTTAAAGCCATAGCATTTTATATAATTTTTTTATATATAAGAGCTTATAAAATTATTGCAGAGTATGAGGAGACCATTTAGGCCAGACCTGGGCAAAGTGCGGCCCGAGGGCCACATACAAGCTGCTCCTGTCTGGCCCGCGGACAGTTTTGAACATCAAAACCATTTATAGCTTTTTGTCTAAAGTTGATCAGTTGCTTATCTTTAACATACCGCAAAAAAACCTCTTTAGTATTTGTGAAGATTAACAAATTTAAAATAAAAACAATCATAACATCACTGTTTCATTTTATTTTTAAGTAAAGTTGGTTCGGCCCCCGAACACAGTTCAGATTTTTCATGTGGCCACCCTATAGAAATTAATTGTCCACCCCTGATTTAGGCTAAATACTGATCCACAAAAATTGTTAGAAGTGAATGCTTCTAAGTGATGTTAATGGTGCAAGCTGGTACCTACCTCTTGCTTTAGCTGTCAGTTCTGTTGAAATTAGGAGAGACTCCCAAGTAAATGTGCTCTGAATTAAGATAGTAGGAGGGATCAGGGACAGGAAAGGGGGAGGGAATTCTGCTGTTGTTTTTCTTAGCGCAGTAACAGGCATTGATTCATGGAAATGGGGGAATATTGCTCCGCTCTCCCTTCTTAAGGCATAAATCAATTGGGAAGACGGTGTGACTTTTCTTTTTTAAAAAAAAATACAGCTGAAGGAATAAATCTGCATATTTGTGAACCATAAATCAGTCTTATGATTCCTATTAAAACTAATTGACAGTCTGGACCATATGTTCTCTTTCAGTTAAATGAATCCACAAGCAAAGAAACTGACATTAATTCAGCAATCTTCCCCCCATGTAAACATCATTGTACAAATACCCAGCTTTTAAACCATATAAGAGAATGAGAGAGCAAGCAGGTCCTTAAATCCTAGTATTGTCTTGCCAGGAGCCCCAGTGAGCTTGCAGGGGCTTTTTTTTTTTTGGCACCCTTTCTGTTCACCCAGGATCTCAGCTTGTGGCAGAGGTGATCAGTCATGATCCCAGCAGACCTCCAAAAGCATGAAACAATCAGGGTAGACTTCCCTCTTTTAGTAAAGACCACTTGAGAGGCAGAACTGATTCTCATTCTGAGCATGAAGCAAGGCAGATCGATGAAGGATGCAGAGAACATTTTGTATTCTGAGAAAGCCCCAAAGGAGTGAAAATGTGCTACAAAAAAATAAGCAATTTATGTTTAAAAGTCAGCATGCACAAGAACTGAGTATGTATGCTTCATCAACCCATGCTGTTCATCCCTTGATAATTCCAAATGGGACATCGCATAGACATTTGTTGTTGTTAAGTTGTTAAGTTATGTCCGACTCTTCATGACCCCATGGACCAGAGCATACCAGGCCCTCCTGTCTTCCACTGCCTCCCAGAGTTTGGTCAAAATCCTTCATGGATTGCTGCCTTGTCATGACGAAGGGGCTTGAGTAATTCAGAGAAGCTATGGGCTAAGCTATGCAGGGACACCCAAGACAGACAGGTCATAGTGGAGAGTTCTGACTAAACGAGATCCACCTGGACTAGGAACTGGCAAGCCACTCCAGTATCTTTGACAAGAAAACTCCATGGACAGAAACATAGACATTACATCAAGGGAAATTCCCTATTTCTCCAAGTGACCTGAAATAGTATACAGTAGTATCCCTCTGTATCCATGAGGAATCAGTTCTACTGTCTATCATGGATACATGATACCACAGATATAGGAACCCTATATATATATAAATTAAAGGTGGCAGGACAAAGACCATAAGTTGTGCCCTCATCTGTTGTATATAGGGCTGCAGGAAACCATGGAAAAGTGAAACAGTGGATACTGGTTCCATGGGGTACAGGAGTCCTACTGTATTTTCAGTGGTGTTGCTTCACATGTTCAGCAGCCAGTCATTAGGTACGGGTGTGCATGTGTCAACTGGAACTTAACCAAAAGCAGTGAATGCCAAATATTCTATGTTCCTAGTAATGTACAGAAATTGCATAACCGTTTGATGATCTATCTTTTTTGAAATCTTACTAGTATTTAATGGAGTGGACATTCTTCTATATCTTCTTCAGTCTTGGGCTGACTCTTGGGTACGATGCAGCACATTGGTTATCATATTGCTGCATTTGTCCAGGAGTCCCTGCCTAGAGCCTCGCATGTTTCTGCTACAGTTTTCCTTAGAAATGGAGCTTTTTACAAAGTGCTTGTTTCAATGTCCCTCCGAAGTCCTCAGAGTTGTATGTATGCTTTTGTGTTTTAGGGAAAGACATGGAAGGAAACAGTTTGACCATGCTGAAGGATGAGATTCCTCAGACGCCAAACTCTGTTAATAAGGTAATGAGCTCTGTAGGGAATGCTTTTTCTTTTTCTTCTCATTTGTGCCGGGGCCAAGACAAATAGTAGATGGATATCCCTAAAGTGTGTGTTTAATGCACAGTTACCATTTTTAACAGTGCGACAAACTCCAAAGACAGCTAGTAGATCACAGGTTCACCTGTGGTGTACAAAAGAGAGCTTCAAAAAAGTTGCTGGTCAAAATCTTTTGCATGAATCACACTGGCGTAAGGGAAATGGATAACTGGCTATTTAAGGAGTCTCTGCTTCGATTTCTTATTGTGCACGAGTCAGGGGGCTCTATGCTTGATCCAGAATGGAAGTAAGGAACCTTTGGTTAGTGGCAATCTGATTAATGCAAGAATCCAAAATGGGTACTGTCCATAGAAATCTGCCAAAGAGGTATATAATGTCTGTGTTTGCGGTGGGTTAGAAGAGGATCGACCTGTATTGATCCAGAGTTCTTTAACAACATTTGGAAGAACACACCACTCCTATGCTCTCTGGACTTCAAGCTGTGATACTTTGCTTGACAGTAAATGGTAAGTGCAACATCAGTACAAACAATGAACACATTACATGGAGAATTTTGCTTGCTTCTTAGAGCTTCACTATACAATATGAAAAATCCTTATTTAAAAGGAGTGCTCTGTCAAGTGGTGAAACAGGTATAATGATGTAAAGCACATTGAAGGGAAAAGAAGCAAGTGTGCCTTTAGGATTATCTCTGGAATCTCTTTGTATGTTTAATTCCAGAATCACATATTACAAAAGAGATTCTGCTGCTGGGAAGAAAACAATATGAGAGCAGGAAGGTCAGACTCATTTCTCTGAATGTGTGTATCGACCACTAAATGAATGCTTCAGTGCTGCAACATGGATGACTGCTGTTAGAAATGGCTATTCAGTGTTTGCTGTTGCTTCCTGTCACATTTATTGACTCAACATTGCTGTACTGTGCAGACTTGAATTCCACTCATAGTGCCATGTATTACTGCAGCCTTTTGTCAGTACTTGCCAGTTCTTTGTTTAAGAAACTAGACAGTGATTAATCTGTACCTGATGTATTTAAAAGCCAGTTTGCTGTGAGGGTGGTCTTGTTTGCATCAGGTTCCAAAGATACGTGTAATATTTTTAGCAGAGGATATTTAAAATTGCTTGACAATTAGAAGTATTAAAATCATTACAGATCCACACATGGAATTGTAAAATGTTTTAATAGCTATATTGAAAAAGCCGGAAGGCATGTCCTCCTTAGTTCTGTAGCTGTGCAGATGTGTAGCAGCCTTCCCCAGTTTAGTGCTGTGCTGGTTGACAGTCCCACACATCTGGAAGGCACCAGTTTGGGAATGACTTCTTTGTATAACTTCTTGAAATACTGTTGTTGTTCATTGTCAGGCATCATACATTATTAATTATCAGTTACTTTTAGACCTTGACTTTTCTCCACTGAAGTCTAGGGGACATACATTGCTCATCTTTCCAGTTTATCATCCTAAGAGCCCTGTGAATTTCATGGCAATGGATCTAAAATCTGGATCTCCTAAAATCTGGATCTCCTAAATTTCACTCCAGCACCCATTTCCTGCTACCACATTGGCTGTCCTGCTGCAGGGAAGGGGCTTGAGACTGTACCCTCCAGATGACGTTTGCAACCTGCATCTGAGATCACTTCTCCAAACAGGCTTAGCACAGACATCTGCCATCAGTTTTGGGGACCCTGGCCTACAGTTTTCCTGCACTATCCATGAAGTGAAATTTAGTCAGATGAGGTGGAAATTTTCTCCACAAAAGCATGCACTTTCTTTGATTTTTCTAGTGCTCCATAAAATATATCATCCACCCCTACATTTGTATACAGATGATTATGCAAACTTTTTAAAAAAACATGCAGGGCAGACATGCTTTGATAGAGATTCTCATATATGATGCATTTTGGAAAATAATGCAGAAAACATTTATGGCTCTGTACTCGTAATACAGATGACAAATACGCTATGTGATAGAAACGTCCATGGTTGTGTCATTTATATTCAGCCATAACTTGCTCATTTAAGATGTCAGATGTGAGAGTATCATTACTGTGTTCAAGGAGGTGAAGGGTTAAGTAAGCATGCTTGGATGGAAGAGCATGCAAGCCCTTAGCTTCAGAAGCCTATACTTGATTGGCTAAAATATTTGAACGGAGTCAGTGACAAGGAAGTGAAACCAATGCATTTGGGGACATTGTGTCCTTATTATGGTTTATTTATTTATTGTGTCCTTATTATAGTTTGTTTGTTTGTTTGTTTGTTTGTTTGTTTGTTTGTTTGTTTGTTGATTTGATTTGATTTGATTTGATTTGATTTGATTTGATTTGATTTGATTTCTATCCCGCCCATCTAGACCAAAGGTTACTAGCTCATCTTCCTGGTGCCTTTGACAAGAACTTTATACACCATGATGGCAGAGGATAATGTTTATCATCATCCTATATACTGCTTCACCTGAAAATCAAACAACTACCATGGCCACACAGGGAAACTGGTCCCCTGGTTGTTGGAGGAGGGGAGAGACAGTGGAGGGCAGGTTGCAATACTGTTCCCAATTCAGCACTGTCCACTGTGTCATCCTCATTCTCTACGTTTTAAGCAGATTTTAAGCATTAATGTAGGAACTCTTACATTTAGTCTGCATTAAAATGATACTATAGCAATGAAATAAGTTCACCTGAAGTTGATGAATAGCACAAAGGGAGGATGTGCTTCTTGTTGTTCATACAATTAAATATGTTTCAGATGACTATTGTTGTGTAGCTAACTGGGAGAAGAATGAAGCAGATCATTTGCAGAGAGGTGGTGTGTTGGGGGTGAAGGCAACTTGTTCAGGAAGTGTTGACAGGCTATAGAGAAAGGGGAAAAAGCAAATTCATTTGGCAGAGGCTTGGGCACAGCCATGTGATTGCTAATCTGACATGATGACTATAGGAAGGAGTCACAAGGCCATGGTATGCTTTTTTTCCTGGGTCCATGTAGGTCAACAACCCCTATTTTAGCAATTCAAGCTTATTCTGTCCCACATGATTTGGGGCAGGATTCTTGTGGAATAAGAAGTGTTCCAGACCTTAAAAGCCAGTTGCAGGAAACAATCTTGTGCTTTTTAAGAGGTCCTGCATGGACTCGTGAACAGATTTGAGAACCAGCAGCTAAACTGTACGTCATTCAGAGTCTAGGTTTCTTTATTCATTAAACTGTCACCTAATTATAGCATTTCATGTATAGCTATTTTTAAAATCACTGACTTCAGTGCTTATGCTTTGAAGTTCTCTTTGGTGAATGAAGAGCATGCTTTTGCTGTATTCATGGTTTTCATCTGCCAAACCATGGTCAAATTGTGGACCCAAACTCATCCAGCCGACTCTGAATGGCTCAAGAAGCCCTCCTTCTAACTAGACGGTATGGAATGCAATTTCCAGAATCCTATCAGGTGGTTTCTGCTTGTGCATCAAGGATGGTATCATTGTTGGCAGCAGAGTGCCACCAATTACAGTATTATGTTTTTTCAGTTTCAGGGTGCATGCAACTTCATCTTCTTAAAATAAAATAAAATTATTCCACCTTTATAATCAAATGTTTTTCAAGGTAATTTGTAATATTAAAAGAATGAATACTTTGAAGATCTGTGATCTCATCAGTAGGGATATTCCCTCTTCCTATACAGACCACAATTATTTCAATGTGTTGTAATACTCATAGTTGCAGTCGCTTGCTCATTATGTGGTGCCCACCTTTTTTGGTGATGAGACACTCCGTTCTTTGTTATAATGGTTCTCAGATGATTACCATGCTAAAGGGAAAAGGACAAGATGTAGTTGAGGCTGATGTCAGCATGCTAATGAGCCCCCCTGTTGGTTTTACTCTTAATTTTAAATGGATTATCCAAGCTGGTGAGCCTGTTTTGGTGATGGGGTTCAGAACCTTGAACAGCTCCTGTGTGTCCTTGAGCAAAATCCCACTGCAAATTCACCACCCCACTATTTACTTAATTGTATATAAAATATTTACATACCACTTTACTCCCAAAGGATCCAAGGTTGCTAATGTTGGATCTACCAGCGTACATTGGCAACATGTAATATTTAAGTGTTCTGGAAGGAACTTCCAGGCTTCAGGGGAGCACATGGAGCCATTGAACAGATTGGGAGATGCCAGGGCAGGGCACTTGTGTATTGCAGAGAGAGAAGAAGGCAGAGAGAAGGCAGAAGTAGAATGAGAAATTAGGACAGAAGGAGAGAGCCGCACACACCTGCTTTATGTCACCATGCCAATTGCAACAATACATGAAGAACTAGCAGTGTCTACTATTCTATAGATACATCTGAATATGGGTCTACAGAAAGCAATTTTGCTGTGTTAACACAGCAGCAGATGTCAGTCAACCATTACTTTTCCGAAGGTGTGTTTCTCTCTCTGTATTTGGAGAGGAATGAAACGACTGTTGAATATTACACATTGGGGGGTGCTTCTCTGTTTTGGAGTGCACTGAAGGCACAAACACACCTCATCCTTTTGCAAGCAGCAATCTCACTTGGGCTTTTCATTCCCCAGTTGGCTGTTGGCAAGCAAGGTTTATTCATTGCCCTGGCCTCGGCATAGAAACATGCGCTGTATGTTTGATCACTTCTGTCTTTCTTTTACAACATCCAGAGTCAGAACTGTTTACCCAAGGATATTGCTCACTTGCCACCCATCTTGCACACGTTTTGGGTGTCTTTATAATGCTATAAAGTAAAACTGTTTGAGAAAAAAGAACGTAGCACTAGCTGAGGTACTTATAAAAACTAGCGTCCCATCCTGTAATACATCTGGAGTCCAGAGTACTGCAGTGAACAGTAGTTGTATTTGTGCCTTTCTGAATTATGATTGCCATCTTTACCAATGGAATGTATCAACTCTGGGACATGTAACTGCCTGCTATGGATCCAGCAGAGGGAGAAGCAAAGGCCAGACACTCTTGGCAGCAAATTTTGATGCCGAGACAATCGAGGCGGGTGTGATTTCAGCCAATGTTCTTTGTATTCTCTGAGTTCTGTGGTAACAGTCCAAGCATTCTAGGGACAGGAACTAATGCCAAGGCATGAATTCCATTTGATATCTTATCCCACATCATAGACTGCTTTCATCCAAGAGGGAATACATAATCTTGCCTTCATCGCCTTTTATATTTAAAGTCTCCTTCAGGTAAAATGGGGAACAGAGTTGGCACTAGGCCACTGGCCACCTGAGGGAAGAATACAGGCGTGATGCTCCACTCTGAGAACATGCCCCTCCTCTTTCTTTGTCCTGGGTGACTCTGAGAGGATGGATGTTTGGAACCTGGCAGGCTCATGGGCTGTATTTGTGCTGTGGGCACAGCAGAAGAACAGCCAGATTGCCTCTCTGGAACTTACCCATTCACAATAACCCCCCACCCACCCACTTCCTGAATGGAACACTTGCTACATCTGGAGAGTGGCCAGTGAGATACTCTGTGGGGGATGGCAAGGGCTCTTCTGCAAAGGGGAAAAACATACTTGGCCACCCGCATTCTCCTCCAACTGAGACGGATGCCCTCTCTAATGGATGGATGGCCATGATGGGAACTTCTGGCTTTGTACTATGCAGACAAAACTGTCTGGATCTTATGATTCTCTGCCCATTCTATTTGTGCATCTATGATGAAAGGATCAGAGCTTGAAGGATCCTAGAACAAACTAGGATCTGAAACCATGATGGCTTGTTCTAATAAATCGTGGTTTAAATAAATTCTAGTTGGGGACACAATACTTTAAAAATGGAAGTAGATTCAGTATCCTCATGTCTGTGTTAGGGAATGGAAGAAATGAAGCACTTTATTTCTAAAACTTACTGTGGCTTGTTCACAGAGTTTCAGCAGAGATTCCTGTTATATCACATTTAGCTACTACGTCAGCAATGATTTGCAGTAGGTGAGGGTGGCCTAATGAGAATATAGGTAACTTTTTAAAGGCTGTGCAAATGCTACTGAAGCTGTTGATCCTTTAACCATGATTTAGAGACTAGGACTGGGCCAGGAACATATGTCTTATCTCATCACCTCTTTAAATGAGGGAATGATAACTGCTGGATAATTCAGGATCTGGCTGCATAACAAGTGGTTGGGAGTTCAGTTCTTCACTGTGCCTCCTTGACAGGGGCTGGACTCAGGGACCCTTTCAGCTCTGCAGTTCTAAGATGATGATGATGATGATGATCTTTCAATCCCCTATAGTTAGCCATGGTTGCATGCTACTTATGTGGCAGTACAATCCCTAGTTAACAGTTAACAAAAATCCCTTAGAACTCTAGTTTGCAAACATACTTCAAACCATGATTTGAGTCCTTCATTCTCTGTGGTAGCACACAAGTAATATCAAAATCTGGTGAGCACCATGTGAACAGAAGGATGTGTTGCTCCAGAAGGGAGAGGAAGGAGCAGACATTCCAGACTTCAAACCATTGCTGTTTCAATTTGCCTGTACCAGAGATTCTTTGCAACAGATTCCATTCTGATGAGTTTTCTCACACATGTAGAGATTGCATCTCTGTTCCCTTTGATGCAAAATTCTATGAAATGCCTATACGGACACTCCTTTTAGATGCAAATGGCCAGAGTCAAACCAGATCCTGAAAGTCACACACATTTCCATCTTCAGTATTGATCTAATTTATGTGAAATTGCATTGTCACCTGTGTTAAAGACACTTAGATCCCCCAGACACATGCCAGTTTGTCTCTCATCCACACCCGAAAAAGCAAAGGAAAATTAAAACATATTCACAAAGTGCAGCTCTTCCCCTGGCAATGGTTTAAGATGCTCTTTTCTGTGGTATTACTAGCTGGTTTTGTATGTACCATCTGTCACAGTGACGTGAATTGGACATTTACAGTGGGGTCTTGACTTGAGAACTTAATCCGTATTGGAAGGCGGTTCTCAAGTCAAAAAATTCTCAAGTCAAATCTGCATTTCCCATAGGAATGCATTGAAAACCATTTGATCCGTATCTGCTCTTTTCCGTCCATAGAAACTAATGGGAAGCTGCTATTCTGCCTTCAACCACTAGAGGGGGATATTTTGTTTCTTTTTTTCTTAGGTCAAGAAAGGTTCAGGGAAGGCAGGGAAAAGACAGTCCAGGCAGGACAGTACCAGGCAGTCCGAAGACTGTCTCCCAATCCACTCTCTAAACGCTGGGAGGAGTGAGGAAGCAGACAGGCACCCTTTTCACTGGCCAACAGTTAACTGAAAGTTCACATCTTGCACTTTCCCTGCCTCCCACGTGGGTTTTTTTCAGTTCTTAACTCAAATCTAAGTATGTAAGTCAAGTCAATATTTTCCTGTGAGAGCGGTTCTTAAGTCAAAAAGTTCTTAACTCAAGCCGTTCTTAAGTCAAGACCCCACTGTATTGTAGCTCCATTGGTTCACAGTCATGCTCCAAGTTGCTGAACTGCAAACCAGAGAACTGGGTGTTGCATCATTACTGTACATCCCCTGGTTTGCAAGCTACATGACAAACTAGTGACCACTCTTGATAAAGATGAGCCAGAAGTAGAATATGAAAAAAGGAGGGCAAGCAAGGTGTTGAGTCAGATTTTTCTGTGTGGATCAGGCTATGGGGTTGCAGTCTTGGACCATCCTACTTCCATGGCTATCCGACTCTATCCCAGTGCCAGGCTCCAGATTTGGTGCCACTATTTCAGATGGACTCCCTTCTTCCTAATCAGTGTCTAAGTCATGGATGGTAGTGTGGGTCATGACAGAACCTTTCTCTGCTTCTGAGTTTGTTCCTCTCTCCTTGTGATATTGCAAAAAAGCCATCCAGCAAGGACACTGGAAGAGGAAAAACAAACTCTGTGTTCATTCAGTACTAACTTCTCCCTACTTCACAATTTATGTGCTATGTTGTTACTGTTGCTGCATTTAATTTTTATCTTTCAGCTTTTAACTGATCTGAATTCCTTTCTGTTTAGACTGACTATAAGCTTTGCAATGGGTCTGATAAAGAGTGTGTTTCTCCAACCGGCAAAAACAACAAGAAGGAGACTTTGAAGGTAGGCGGGCAAAGGACTGTCCTGGCAAAACTGTTGCCACCATGATGGAATTGAACCTATTTCCCTTCATCTGGAGACCAGATCTGGGCAGGATTTTTGACTGGTCCAGATTTTGCACTGTTCGTTTTCCTGTTGGTTTTATTTGTTTTCCTGTGAGCAGTATTAAAAGCATTTAGGCTTTATTAACAGTGTGGCTAGCAAGAGCAGTAAGAGTGCCAAAACATAAAACAATGTTGTAGCATACTGAAGCTGGAATTTTCCTGTTTGAGAAATCAGCCCTTGGTGTGGCCATTTCCTGCGCATTAAATGGAATTGATGAGCATAAAGAGGATTCTAGTGGAAGGTCACACAAGCATCGGAGAAGTATGTGTAAGATTCTCCCATGAAAACCTGGAGAAAGCATTATCCTGGGAATCACACCCACCCTGTGATCTATACAAGGATAAGATTTTTTTTCCAGAACACAAAGGAAGCATACAGAAATTTGTCTAAATGAATTGAGGCTGTGATTTTATATACATGTTTCTACCTTTGTATGTCCACTGAACTCAATGAGACTTGCTTCAGAACAGGCATGCATCTGTCATGTATCCAGTGGGCACAATCATTTCTGTTTTCATTGAATTAGGAATACTACAAGCAGGCAGAGTAGAAGGAACAAGCTCCTTGCATTTACAGGGAAAACTTCTGTATGATTTCACCAGCAGGAGCTGCTTTTAAAAATAAATTGGAAATTGCTGGCTATGTTCTCCTCTGCACAGCCTGAGAATTCAGTTACTGTACATTGATTGGATGCAATAAATATTTATCAGGACTGTCTAAAAAGTGGGGCAGAAGGGAGGGGAGACACACCAGGCAAACTGCTTTATATTGGCAAGCAGGTTGAGCTAAACAGAGAGAAACTGTTCCTGGTCCTCCCATTGGTTTATTAAGAGGTCAGGTCTCAAGGAAGAAAGGTCTCAGATTACCAAAATGGCTTTACTTTAAGCACATGACCCCCAAACAAGACTATATAAGCGTTGCAATTAGAACCCAATAACACTTTTTACTTCCAGGCAGGCCAATCCTTCAAAGCTCCATGCCTAAGCAATCAGACTTGCAAATGAAGCCTGTGTTTGTCCCCCAATGGCCAATCATGAAGCTATAGCAATCTGATTTGCAGCATACAGAAGTGAGGGAAATTTGTGCTGGACTAAACAGATGCATTTTATGGGAGTTCTATGTCTAATGATGTGCTAACTGTGTCATCTAGTTTGACTCTGAGTCATCCTATTTCCACTCCAAGATTTCAAGCACTGTTATACTAAGTGAAGTAATTTTGAGTGAAGCTGGTTTTTTTGTTTTTTTGTTTGTTTGTTTGGCGTAGCTGTAGAAATGCACTGAGTATGAGGCCAATGTCAGTAACAATTTTACCAGAAATGAAAGCACTTGATATTCCATTCACTGTTGTACTGGTTGCCTCAGTTACTTTGCTAAAATATGGGTGGCTGCTTGAAATTAATGGCATGACCTCCTCTTCTGTACAGTACTCAGTTTTGCTCTTTGTCTCTGCCAGCATGGTAGGAAAAAAAGGGGGTGAAATGCTCATGAGTGCTGCTTTGTTTCTGTGGTCTAACAGGTACAGAAGAAAAATTACAGGCAGGAGAAGAAAAGGGCCACTAAGCAACTCTTCAGTGCTTTGAAAGATCCCAGTGTGGTCATAATGGCAGATTGGCTGAAGGTAATTTAGTGTGGAACATCACTTTAAGATTACACGGATAAGAACTTCTCAGGAGGGGTATACTTTCATAATCCATCAGCTGTCTTCTTTCAAAAGGTTGCTTGCAGCTTAAAAATGACCCGATTCAGGGAACAAAAGCAGAAGGCTGAAATAATACATTAAGGTCATAGTACTCAAGACTGATGTGATACCTGAGACTTGTAGGTGGCAAAGCAGGACCTTTTATACATTCTTATGAGATTTTTATTTGTTTGTTTTCGACCCCAGCTTTTTCCCTGTAGGAGGGACTCAAGGCAGCTCACAAGACAGCTTAAAAACATGCGTATTAAAACAATTGCAAATCTGAAACAACATTATTAAAAAGCATTAATTAAACATATTAGTTATTAAAAGGCACAAAATAAAACCATGCTAAAACTAGTTACAAACACAAACATTTAAAAAAAAAAACAATAATAGAACCATTATCCCCTTGTGCTACTGATTCTATGGACTATCTGTCCCAGCAGGTCTGAAGGTTGCAGCAGTCGGAGTCATTCTGCAGCCTTCATACCTGATGGGGCATTAAGTGTTGCTCGTTGTGAAGTACCACAAGCCCATTCTGTGGCTGGTCATCAGTTCTTTGTTTGGCAGATACTAAGAAAAAAAAACAGTAATAGAACCATTATCCCCTTGTGCTACTGATTCTGTGGACTATCTGTCCCAGCAGGTCTGAAGGTTGCAGCAGTCGGAGTCATTCTGCAGCCTTCATACCTGATGGGGCATTAAGTGTTGCTCGTTGTGAAGTACCACAAGCCCATTCTGTGGCTGGTCATCAGTTCTTTGTTTGGCAGATACTAAGAACTGAATCAATAGTCTTGTTTTTCAATTCATGAAGCACATGGGTATGTTTCTGAACATTTTGCTTTTTTCAAAAAAAATTATGGGCTCTCACTAACTAGATAACTGCTAACACTCTGTATGATGAAACTGTGGCCAGATATTATGCAGTCTCAGACTCATTTTCTGATCTTTGATAATCAAATCTTTACTTGATGCAACAGGGGGTGGAACGGATCAGTGTTTTTAAGCCACAATGAATGCCTGAGATAAAATGGCTTCATTTATTTGAGACCTTTCAGAACCATTATATATGAGAGTGGAAGAAACTGATTAGGCTGGAGTGTGGGGGGAAAAAACAGATGAAGCAAGCAATGTTTTTCTTTTTTAAAAAAAAACTGGAAGTGTATAAATTGCATTTCTAACATGCCTTGCCTTTTGGAAGATGACCATAGGTGCCCTGTGGGAGTGCTCTTTTAATGTAATTCTGAATTGTGTTTAAGAATGACACGTAAATCTTGGTGGTGGTGGTGGTGGTGCCTTCTCTTAATTAGCTCTTTGGAACAAGCCAGTTCTTTTATTCACAGATAATTCTGCTAGGAGTTTAGCTTCCTCCTGTCATCTGGAGTAGTGGAGTAGTACAGCAGGGCACTTTAGAGAACTGAGCTTGGTGTGGGTTTTTTGTTTTTGTTTTTGTTTAAGAAAGGCATTGCAGTCAGATCATGTTAGCAAAAACAGTGCTCTTAAATCTGTTTCACTGGAGGCAAATTACTTCGGCAGAGTGAGGAAAAAATTCTCTTCTTCTGGTTCTTCAGATTCGTGGGACTCTGAAAAGCTGGACCAAGCTGTGGTGCGTGCTGAAACCTGGAGTGTTGCTGATCTATAAAACGCCAAAGGTTGGGCAATGGGTGGGCACCATCCTGCTCCATTCTTGCGAGTTGATTGAGAGACCGTCCAAAAAAGATGGCTTCTGTTTCAAACTTTTCCACCCCCTGGATCAGTCGATTTGGGCTGTGAAGGTAAGTGGGATGCCCAACTTGATGTCTTAGATCAAGGTGTCTTGGAGGAGAAAACAACAGAGTTCCAGCAGGGTACAGAGCAGTTTTGACAATTCTCCAAGATGTGATTTCAGAAGAATTTTTAAAAGGGGGGAGGGTTGAAGTGCTTCTCTTTCTGAAAGCTCTTGCCATAACTTATTAAGGAAGATGTACTTTTATGTAAAACCTGCATATGCCAAAGATACTTTCTGACTTGAGAGTACAAAAGTTTGGGCCTTTCTGATTATGACAGTTGTAGGACAAAATTTGAAATTCAACAGGCTGGCATCACATTTAGTTTGAATAAAGGAGAAAGGTAGGAGATGGCAGACCAGGGATGTATGACCATACAGTACTGAGAGAAAGCGTATGCACAGAAGCTCAAATCTGGTGCCAGGTACTTCAAAGGTTGGGATATGCTTTATCTAACCCTGATGTAGGTATGGGAGGAGGCCATGGTGTAAGACAGCTGGTCACTCCACTCCCGATATGTACAAAATGTTGCATAACTTCCTAGAAAAGGTGGGTTTGTTGGTGAGTGGAGAGCTCCTTTCCATACTGTAGGGGTGTGATGTGTATTCAGCACTTTTTGAAATTGCAGCAATTTTTGACATTTTTCCCTGCCAGGGAATCTTACAGGGACCCCGATGGAGCCTGAAAGATTTGCTGGGGAAGCTGCAGGGAGAAATGCTGAGCACTGTCCCCCGCCTCCACACTCTTTCCTGATTTCCTCCACAAGATTCAGCTTGACAGTCCAGCACTGCTTTATCCTCCTCAGGAGTTTTGTATCTTTTTGCTGCTCTTATCAATTTCATGCTCTTATAGAGATCAATTTCAGAGAGCTGTATTAGAATAGGAGCATGAAACAGACAAGAGGCAGTGATAAGGAATACTGTGGGAAGTGACATAAATTTCTGCACAGTAGCCAAGAATTGTGCACTAGATTTCATGGGAAGAAACATGGGATGTTTGGAAGGTGGGAAAGCCTATGGGAAGGAAATAGAAAAGCAGAAAATCCTGTAGAAATCTGTGGGGCCAAGAAGCAATTAGATTCACAGCACCAGAGTATTGAGCGTTTTGAGTGTTGGACCCAGCAAATTGGGGCAGGAGAAGAAAGAAGATAAAATACGCTCTCTCTCCAACCAGGGAGGATGAGATACACAAATACAAGCTTAATTGCAATAATGAAATGGAAATTATGTACTGTAAATGAAAAACACTCACAGCTTGTGGTGGTGAATTTATGCTTTCGTTATAGTGACAATAGTTCTTAGAGGACTGGGGTGTATTTTAAATTTTGTCACTTCCCTTGTTACCATAATGAGAGGATGAAAGCAATTGAGAGAATCTCCCCGTGGATGACCCTGAGAGTCAAGGATACCCAACGGTGGGCAGTAAACATTCTTTATGGAACAAACTAGTTCATTTGAAGGGCGTAATTTAGCACAGAATGACCCTATTTTGTTGCAAAGGCTATAATCCACAATTTCTAACACCCTAGAATGTCTTTCAATTTCTCACTGACTCTTTCTACAGCATATGACATTCTCTTTCATCCTGAATGTGCCCTGTCTTGTCTAATTAAACAGGGATCCCTATTGGAAAAACCAATCTGCACACACACGCGCGCGCACATGCACATACAAGCACGCACACGGAGACATACACAAACACACACACACACACACACACACACACACACACACACACGCCTCAAGCAAGAAAGGACCTTTAACAGTAGGGAGGCCTCTGTGAACAGTAAAGATATTAGAGATCCTACTTTCTGTGTAGAAGTAAATCAGGTAACCCCTGAGAAATAACACACGTAGGTAGCATTTAGGATGAATGAGAAGGACTTGACCACTTCCTGACAGATTTTGAGATTAACGTACATATGTCTTGGAGTTACATTGCTTAACCACACTTGAATCAGGTCCGTTGCTAAAAGTGAGAAGTCTGCAGCATGTTCACAGCGATACTATGAGAAGCGTGTTCTCTCTCTCTCTGAATGAGAGAGAATTTGAATGGGAATTTGCAATATTGTGATGGTATCATCTTTCTTGGTGGAAAGGTCTGTCAGCATGGACCATAGGATGCTGCTTCCTACTGACACTGACCACTGGTCTGTTGGTCTGTCTGTTTCCATTCACAGTCAGCAGGGACAGCAGCAGCTCTCCCAGTATGCTTTGCTTTCCCAATTTGAAAGCCTGATAGGTTGGACCTGGGACCTTTTTAAAAATGTAGTCCCATAGGCTCTACAGCTGAACTAGGCCGCTCCCAAGTAGATTATCAGATCTCCAATAACGTTGGTCCGAATAGCTGCATTGTTTCTGAAGTGGTCTGAAAATGACATCCATCAGTAAATGTTACCTTTAAAACCCCCACAACAATTCTGTATTTGTGTGACAACATTGAATTCTAAAATGTCAAACTGCTCCAAAGTCATAAAGTATTTTCAGATCCAGACTAATCTTCAATCTGAAGGTCAAGCAAAAAACAACAACACACAGAGAGAGCTTAAGAGAGATAAATATGTTGCTTTGCAAGACAGGATGGAAGCCCATCACTTTGCGAAAATGAGGTCAAGCTCATTGACAGTACCTTCTCCTCAGCTGGTTTTTCAAAACAGCACATGGCTAGGTATATTTCTTGCACCATTAGTATGAGACATTGGGTGTGTTTTTGTATAATATTTACCGTGTGGAAAAAAACATTGACTGTGATTAGAAATATTTTTGTTTCAGGGTTTCATTCTGGTGTTTGTGTTGTTCCTTCCCCCCCCCCCTCAAATTAGACATACAAAGCAAGTGGCCACAGCCAAGAAGGTACAATTTCTCGTAGCTGTCCTTTTTTGCCTCCCTCAGTGCGGCCACCAACAGAAGTAAGGCCTGTGAGGAATGGGTGGGGTGGAATGACGTTCTGAGGAAAAGACACTTTGACAGATAAAGTGGTCCCAGACCATTGAGGGCTTTGTAAGCTGGAACCAAGACCTTGAACCTGACCTGGAAAACAACAGGCAGCCAACACAGGTGAGCCAGAACTGGTGAGATGTGATCAAACTTGTTCATACCTGACACCAGTTTGGCTGCTGCTTTCTGGACCTGCAATCTCCGGGCCAGCCTCAAAGGCAGCCCCACATAGAGAGTGTTAGAGTAATCAATCTTGGAGATCACTAGGACATGTATTAATTTTGCCAGAGATTTCCCCATCAGAGTAGGAGCATAACTGGTTGATCAGTCTGAGTTCGTTGAAGGCTGTCCTGGACACGTCTGAAACCTGCTGTTCCAGAGAAAGAGCCAAGTCCAGGAGCACAACCAAATTATGCACATAGTCCCTAAGCAGAAGGACAACTCCACGCAACCTGGGGTGGTTATCACCCAACTTTTCCAAAAGGACTCTCATCAAGAGAACCTCAGTCTTTTCTGGGTTCAGTTTTAGCCTCTTAGCCTTCATGCATTCCAAAACTGAGGCCAGACAGTGCTCCAGGAGCCAGACAACATCCACTGCAGAGGATGTAAAGGAGAGACAGTATTGCGAACCATCCGCATATTGATGAAAGCATGCTGCATGTCTCTGGATGACCTCTTCCAGTAACCTCATGTAGATATTAAATAGCATTTATGAGATAGCTAACCTGTGGGGCACCCCAAAATTGAAGGCCCAAAGGGCTGACAATTCCTCCACAAGGTGGACTCTCTGGATCCAGTCATCGAGAAAGGATCAGAATCAGCTAGGAGCCAGCCCTCAAGACCCCCAGTCCTGACAGCCTGTCCAGGAGAATATCATGGTTGATGGTTACAAAGGCCACTGAAACATCAAGGAGCGCCAACAGGACGATTCTCTGTTGGATTCCTTTAACAAGTAATCTTGCAATGCGACCAGTGCTGTCTCTTGGTGTGCCCTGAATCCAGACTGAAATGGATCCAGGCAGTCCCTCCTCCTCAAGGAGCTGTTCTGCCACCACGTGCTCAATCAACTTGCCCATGTTCATGATGGAGCTATAGTTATTCAAATGGTATGTTGCTAGGTTGGAACATTTCAAAACTGGCTATGTGATAACAGAGCAACTACTTGTATTTCCACACTAGACATGAGCAACAGGCAATCTTTCTCTAGGGCTATATGCAAGTATGATATGAATGCAATCTTGATTCATACTTTAATCCTAACTACAATGGAAGCATGTCTCCTGCTCTCCCTACTAGGGACAGCAGTTTAAACATTTTGGGAAAGTGCTATTTCCCTATGCTGAAAATCGTAGGCAGAGAAAGTATGGTTGACTTTTCATTTAAGCCGGAGATAGTTACTGCCCAAGTGCTGTAGAGGTACTCAGAATCTGAGATAAGATGCTATAAACACAACACATCATTTCCCTGAGGAAATGATGAAAGCACTCTGAGGCCTTGTTTAAGAAATGTGACAGTTCAAATCATAAGATATTTAGATTTAACTATTTCAACTTATGTAGCAGCTGCACCTTATCTATTGTTTTGGCTCTGTGCCAGAGAAGTCACATGAGGCCAATTTGAACAGCACCGAGCTTGGAAACGGAAGATTGTATAAGTGGAATGACATTTTTGTGAACTATTCAGATACAGTATCTTCAAGATCCACCATTTTACAGTACAAAACAGTCAAAACCAATTCCCACTTGCCATGTTTTGCTCACTGTAACTGGACCAACAGATGCCCCACTATGTCACTATCTAGCGGGAAACTCTTTTTCATTTATGGGCAGTGCTGTTGATTTGACTCAAGTGCAGTAGGAAATGGATTGCTAAGACCTTAGTGGCTGTCTGGAATAAGTCAGGCCCACTCTTTGAGACCGGTTCCAATGAGACCTATGGTATACTATCAGACAAAGTTTCTTAGTGCAGTTTTGAAGAAATGGATTGTGGGCAGGTGATCAGCTTTTTGCATCAAAAGAGGAATAGAAATTAGAATTGTGGGCCTTAGAGGGGTCTTATCAGTCATTTGGTTCCAACTTTTACCTGAAGCAGGGAACTCTCAAGTCAGAGAAGCTCCACAGATGACTGTCCACCCTCTACTGGAAGACCTCTGGTGTAGGAAAACCCATCACTTCTTTGGGTAATAGGTTCTATTGTCAAACTGTCCTACTGTTAGAAGGTTAATCAGGTGACTGGGTTTTGTTGCAGGTGCTGAATGGGGAGGTAAGACAGGGTGGAGGACCCAATTGTCTTTATATTTATGTCTCCTTTCATATGCCGATCAACATTCCACCTGGTCTTTTATATACAAATGAACTACTGGTACAGGAGTAAATGGCTAGTCATGGCTAGGTTTGGTCTAACGTAGTGATAAAGCATTGGTTTTCTCCCAGTCAGTTTATGTTCATGTGTAAAAGGATATTTCTGTGTTTGTCAACTGGTCAGTAGTTCTAAACAATAGGATTTACGTAAGCATTCACTCAGAACACTTCAGCAACTATTCGACAGGTCGGCTTCATTCAGGACTTTGAATGTAGGGTATAGATTATTTGAGAGATTCAATAATATATATGAGTATAATTCCATATGTCACCCAAGGAATTCAGGGCTGTATTCTCCCATGTTTGTTTTCTTAACTCTGTAAGGAAGATGAGGCTGGGATGATAACTTACTTAACCCTGACCATACACTGTGAGTGATGAGGATTTGAAACCATGCCTTCCAACCCAAATACAACACCATATTTATTGTGTTACACTGGCAGGGTTAGCAGAGCGTAATGCAACCAAAGTCTAGAATTTGCTGTTTAGAAGTGAAAGACCAAGGAACAAAATGGAGGAGTGCAGTAAATTGTGCTGATCCAGAGACAATCTGATAGTATGAACTGCTGAAACATTTGCTGATTCAGTTCTTAATGGTTAGAAGTCTCCAGCAAGGAAGGTATACATTATTTACTTGCCCGCTCTGGAAAAGGACAGGCAAAGACATATTTTTTCTTTCAAAGGATGAGCTCACAGAAGAAACCGAAGCAATCTCTAAGGAGACATAATAGACAAAGTGAGCAAAAGCACATCACATAGCTGAGCAGCTTACAGTGGGACAGCTGACATTAATATGATCTGGCAATAATTCTTGTGTGTCCCCCCCCCCGCCCTTTTCATTCATTTTAATCTGGAAGATGAGGTGTGGGAAGCATTCACTACTTTCTTAATATGAACTGTTTTTATTTTTTAAAAATGGAATATAGTAGCAAGAAATGGTGCTGATGTAAGGTGCCAACATTTTAAAAATAGGTAAATTAAGGGTTTGAGTCACTGCTACAAAAAAAGCAGTGTTGAAAATGATAGTCATGCTCCTGTCAAATGCAAGAACAAAGGAAGCGGGACTAGCTAATGCAGTTAGTTAGTTTGCGTTCCTGTACAAACATACATGAAAGTAAGTGCCATTGAGCTAAATAAGACTTATGAGTAGATATATACCAGCTTATTCTGCAGGTGACTCAACTGTGCTTGAATAAGGCAGCCCCCTGGGTCAAATCTCACCTTTCTCATAAATTTGCTCCATAGCCATAGGCAGGTCTTGGCATTCCACTTCCAGAGTTGGATTAATTACAGACGGGTCGTTAAGGACTACTAAAGCGCATTGTAGAATATTCAAAATGTAACTGAAGTGCCAAGTGTTGTTGTTCTTGTTGTTATACAGTAAGTAGCATATAAAGATTTCTTTTTAACTGAAAACCTACCTATGTCAATAGAACTTAGGGCACAAGACAATGAAAAATATCAGCTTCAAAGAATTTTAAACAATTCAAAGCTGATGATAAATGTATATGAGAATATACAACATAATGTACCCAGACATAAATATAGCATAGTCTGCTGCAGTTGGTGTAGTTCCATTTGAATCAATGGAACTTAAATCCACATTGTTCCATGAGCTTTATTACTTCAATTTACCATGCTAATCAACAGGATTTTGGCCACCGTTTCCTACTAGTGAGCTCTACATGCATGAATTATGCTAAGATACTACTGAGAGGGATGTGGTGGTGCTGTGGGTTAAACCACAGAAGCCTCTGTGCTATAAGATCTGTAGATCTTCAGCTGTAAGATCGAATCCACATGACGGAGTGAGTGCCCGTCGCTTGTCCCAGCTCCCGCCAACCTAGCAGTTGAAAGCATGCAAATGCGAGTAGATAAATAGGAACCACCTCAGTGGGAAGGTAACAGTGTGTTTAAGTCGCACTGGCCATGTGACCACAGAAAATTGTCTTCTGACAAAGGCTGGTCTATGGCTTGGAAATGGGGATGAGCAGCGCCCCCTAGAGTCAAACACGACTGGACAAAAATTGTCAAGAGGAACATTTACCTTTACCTTACTACTACCTTACTGCTCTGGTCAGAGCACAGGTTGCTGTCCTCTGAAGATGCCGGCCACAGAGACTGGTGAAACGTTAGGAAGACCAACCTTCAGAACACGGCCAAAGAGCCCAAAAAAACCCAGAACAACCATTAGATCCCGGCCGTGAAAGCCTTCGCGAATATATAAAAAAATCTGTAGATGTGGCTGATAAGAGATAATTCCCAAATTAAAGTAATGATTATCCACTCCTTCTTGGTATTCACAGTAAAACTCTTTAATCCTGTCCTCTTAAGGTATTTTGAGTGCTTGTAAGGTATTTTGCACAACTGAATTTCTCAGATGATGAGACCTTAAGAGTTATGGAGGGAATTGCTGTATAATTTATTGAACAGTGCAAATCATTAGCTGCTTGTTAGTCACCTTTCATGTTGCCACTGAATGCTTTGCCTCCTGTTTCAGAGTTCAGTGCAAAGCCCTTGTTGTTACTGTAACATACTCTACATTCGGCTGCCCCTGGAAAGTTTCAAGAAAGTTTGGCAGGTCCACAATGTGACTTTCAGATTGCTAACTGGAGCTGGTCACAGGGATCACATTAACCCGCCTGTTGCAGCAGTTCCATCAGCTGCTGATACATTTCTGGGCACAGTTCAAAGTGCAGGTCTTAACCTATAAAGCTCAAAATGGCTTGGATCCAGGCTATCTCAAGGACCACATCTCCCTTTATGAACCTGCTCAGGGGTTCACATCAGGAGAGGCTTTGGTCTCAGTTCCGTTCTCACAGTTGCATTTGGAGGGGACACAGGATAGGGCCTTCTCTGTCACTGCTCCAAATTTTAGCTTTAAATATTGTTTTAGCGCGAAATATTGTCTTTTAATAAAGCAAGCCTGCTTGGGTCTTTCTTAAGGAGAAAGGTGGAGTAAAAATATTTTAAAGTAATTAGTTTATTAATCTGAAGGGTTTTGTACAAATAGTCATGTTTGTTTTTTGTCTCAATTAAGTAATGGAATATAGAGAGGGTTAGTTCTTAATACTTCTGAGACACTATGTGAGAAATTGTTTTGGTTGTGTGAGAGCTATGAAATAGGCACCTCAGGTGCTGTCTTAGCTGTGCCCTCCCTTTTACAGTATTGTCAGGAGAAAGATGGAGATGTCTCATGATGATATTACAGGGCAATGCACAGAACTGTAAAACTTCCCTCCACACGTGTTTGGTGATTCAGTGGTGCTCTGGGTAGACTATACGTACATTGGTGTTTCTCCTTTTGTTGCTTTGGAAGTCATTTTGACAAAAAAATGGTCTGAAATAAGGTTTTTTGGGATGTTTGGCCATGTTCTGAAGGTTTTTCTTCTTAACCTTTCACCAGTCTCTGTGGCTGGCATCTTCAGAGGACAGGAGTTAGAGCAATACCCACATAATAAAAAAACACCCTGATCACCATAATCACCCAATCTCCTGGAAAGGACAAAAAGCTGATCCCACAGCTATAAATACCCAACTGTCTCACAACCTACACCAGAACACAGACAGAGTTCTAACTCCTGCCCTCTGAAGATGCCAGCTACAGAGAGTTGGCTGAGAAATTGGGGAGCAAAAAAAGGACAGCTGTAAGAAGCAGAAGTACCCCCACTTGTACATGTATACATTTGAAATCCACACCTATGTCTCTGCACTCAAAACTGTCCTTTCTTATTTAGGCCACACTGGTATTGTGGCCTAATAAGGCCTAATAGAATCTGAAATGTTAATGCTGACATGAGATGGGCAGTTTTGTGCTTGTATATTGGTGTACTTTTATGGTAAATATGGGACATAGTACACAGCTGATGGGACAGCAGGGAAGGTGTCTGCTGCTAAATTGTGTTTTTTTTTTAATGTAAAGGGTTGTAAATAGTAACAGATATTCAAATAGTTCATATCTGTTCACAAGCTAAGGGAGATGTAGTCCTTTTGTTGTGGGAATCAGTAAATACTGTATCTTTTTTACTCTAATTTTCCACAGTTACAAAACAATTGTTCCTAATAGTTTGTAATGTAACATAGGGGAAGACCTAATTTTCAGTATCATCTACTCAGCTCTACAACAAAGTGTTTTGTTTTGTCTATAAGTGCTTGTCTCTTAAATTATAATCCATTTCTTTGGTTATATATTAATCAGTCATTCAATAAATAAATAAAATGTGTTGGTAGCCAAGATTTTGTTATTGGCCTATTTTAGGAGGCATTCAGTTGGACTTTAGCTTAATATAAAAGGTTGGAAAAGTTCTGTTTTTGGACTATAGCCCTAGAGACCCCAACCAACTGGTCACAAGTCATGATTAATGAGGGATTCTGAAAGTGTAGTCCAAAAAATGTAACTTTTTCATGATCTGCTGGATATACTTTAAAATTTGTTTGACACTAAGGTTTGCTTTATATTTTTTGTTTATTTGATAGTAGAAAGTTGAATTTAAAAGAGGGAACAAATGATAAATGATTTTTCCCCCATATTCTGCAAATTATTCTAGGGTCCGAAAGGAGAGAATGTAGGTTCAATCACGCAGCCTCTTCCAAGCAGCTACTTAATCTTCAGGGCAGCTTCCGAATCAGATGGTGAGTTCTTTCTTCTTTGTTTACATCTCTAGTTACTCTTTTTATCCTTCTTATTAACCAATGAGAAACTTTGTGGGCAAGCAGTTGGTGGTGTAATCTCCAGTGATTCTGAACAACTCCATCTCCTGATTGGAAAGAACAAGATGACAGAACTCCTATTTTGGAATTCAAATAAGACATGTTCATTTTCCTTTTTTTGGATCAACATCAACTGAGCCATAATTGGAATTCAAATAGGACATGTTCATTTTCCTTTTTTTTTTGGATCAACATCAACTGAGCCATATGTTTCTGGGAGATGCGTGAGTGCAGTCAAATGCATTTGCAATGTATGAGATGACATTATATTAGCATTTCTTTGTTCTCTGTTCTGTTTTACTGGTTGCAACTTGGAGGAAGCAGGGAAATGATACTGGAAGGATGTCATATTGTGAGTCATCTCCTTCAATGTCACATTTATTGGGGGGTGGAAAGTGGATCAGTGGAACTCCTAGCAATATGTGGGTCAGTGGAGACTATATCCCCCTGCTTTACTTCATAGCATTTAGATGCAATTTTATTACTGTTGTCATTATTTATTAGAGGGAATGACTGTTTATTTAATAAAGAGTTGGTGGAGATCCTCACAGGAGCAGCAAGAATTGAAATAGCTCATACTTGGAAGAACACACAAGGACTTTCCTTCCCAAGATACCTAGATAGGATATGGACAATAGCATTAATGGAGAAACTGATCACATGGGCTAGGGCCCTTAGAGGAAAAATAAAAGTAGATAACTTTGCTAAAATGTGGCACCCTCTGTTGGTTTCAGGCCGTGAATTAAACAGTGAGAAGACTACTTTGGGAAGATGGCTGGATTATTGGTCTTCCATCTTTTAAGATGGACACAAACTTTATGTACTGAACTGAAATATTGATAGAAAAAAGGTTACTGATGTGTATAAGATTAAAATGATAATATATGATTGTATAATATCTTAGGCTATAGGTTTTGTATATAGATTATATTTAGAAATGTGGGTATTCGTATTCATATACGAATATCCCCCTGCAGCTGGACTTAACTGGCCGCTGGGTCCGGACCATCCACTCACATGTCCAGTGGTGGTGGCGGCCCCACTCATCCTTCCAATCACACCTGGAGCACTGCTCTCTTCCTGGTCGGCTGCCTACTCAGTAGCTATGCAGGGAGACTTGTCCTCCCTCCCCGCACTGCTCTCTTCCTGGTTGGCTGCCTACTCGGTAGCTATGCAGGGAGACTTTCCTCCCTCCCCCTCCCTGGAGTTAGCTAGATGAGCAGGAAGAGAGCTTGCTAAGTCCCCATGTGTGGGGATATTTGTATTTGATTATGAATACAAATACCCCCATCTCTAGTTGCATTGTTTTCTCTTGTTATCCTTAAGGATCGTCAATTTAAAAATTCAAGTTAAAAAGCACTTTGTAGCATTTGGGTTAATAATCTCCTGTTTGCACCCATGCACAGCCATTGTTCCTTCCAGCAAAACCATGCAAGAGTTGTTGTTGTTGTTGAGTCATGTCCAACTCTTTGTGACCCCATGGACCAGAGCACGCCTCATGCAAGAGTTGTATGGCACCTTAAAGATGACGAGTCTTATTTGACTTAAACATTCTTGGTGTGGAGACCACTTCTCCAAATGCAAGTCAGCTGCAGTCCATGTAGGCTTAAGACAATTAAAATTTACTATTTTTTAAGTTGCCACAAGGCTTATTGTTGGTTTGGTTGCAGCTGATTAAAAACTAAAACAGATGCCACTCTGGGAATAAGCTCTACTGTTCCTTTCTTTGTCTATTCCAGTTGTTTTATAGCCAGCTTCTTGAGGAGCCTTTTATATTTGGTTCTTTAAATCTGGTTGCATCTCAAAACCTATCAAACTATCCTGACTCATCCTGGCTGAGTAGTTCTGAGACTTCATGTATTAGGTACAAATGGAACAAAACTTCGTGACTGCTCTTGTTAGATAAACCAAAAGGACAATTCAAAATCACGGTTTTGTCAAATTTAAACTTGCAACAGTAGTACAGGATTAATAATGTTTTTGTGTTTATAAACAGAGGCGAATGGGTAGGTCTTTAAGAAATGCCCTGATTAAATAGTCTTGTTCTTTTTATGGGTTTCTCTTCCCCTGTTCATACCTTTTTCATCCAGAGTCTTTTCTGTGCTTGAGAAACCCTTGCCTGGATAACAGTTCATATTAGGATCCAGGATAAACAGGTAACAGATAATCATAGATGTCTGTTGAGAGATTTTTCACTCCTCCATGAGAGTAAAAAGAGCAGCACTTTTTTTTCATCAGCAGCAGTATTCAGAAAAAAATGTGTTTTTTGTTAATACTGTATCTTCTATTAAAAGTCTTGCATTTTGTGTTGGTTTACTGTGTAAAATACAAGATTTTCTGTGAGCATTACAGAGGTTCTCCCTGTTTTCTCCCCAGTCAGCTGATACACAAGAACTGCATGATGTAATCCAGAAGGGAAGAGTCCTTTGAAATTTTTAATTCCTAGCAGTAAGGACAAAATCAGTGCCCATTTAAAAGCCTTAATTCAATAAGCTCTTGCTTTCAATATGCCCTTGGCAAATCAATTTTAGTATTCCCCATGTTAAAGAGGAAAATTGGAAGCTCCCTTGTTCTGAGTGAGTGAGTCCACTTATCCTCCTCCCAGTATTGTCAGCTCTTGACCAGGAGAGGCTTTCCAGGGTTTCTTAGCCATATCTGGAAACATCAACACCTGCATCTGAGACCTTCTACATGCAAAACATAGGCTCTACCACATATTAATGAAAAGCAATAACATAAATGTGTTAATTTTTATAAAATTAATAACCATCCTCTTGCTGTGATGATTTTTTAAAATTCTTAGCTGGAATGCAAATCTGGTTCTAGTTCCTAAACATTATTTTGATCTTTTTCCATTGCTGGTTTGGAACCAAAGACACGAGCCATCCATAATATGTTGTTGTTGTTGTTGTTGTTGTTGTTGTTGTTGTTGTTGTTGTTGTTGTTGTTGTTGTTGTTGTTTAGTCACTTAGTCGTGTCCAACTCTTCGTGACCCCATGGACCAGAGCACACCAGGCCTTCCTGTCTTCCACTGCCTCCCAGAGTTGGGTCAAATTCATGTTGGTAGCTTCAATGACACTGTCCAACCATCTCGTCCTCTGTCGTCCCCTTCTCCTCTTGCCCTCACACTTTCCCAACATCAGGGTCTTTTCCAGGGAGTCTCCTCTTCTCATGAGATGGCCAACGTATTGGAGTATCCTCAGCTTGAGGATCTGTCCTTCCAGTGAGCACTCAGGGTTGATTTCCTTTAGAATGGATAGGTTTGTTCTCCTTGCAGTCCAGGGAACTCTCAAGAGTCTCCTCCAGCACCACAATTCAAAAGCATAAATTCTTGGTGGTCAGCCTTCTTTATGATCCAGCTCTCGCTTCCATACATCACAACAGGAAAAACCACAGCTTTGATTATGCGGACTTTTGTCAGCAAGGTGATGCCTCTTCTTTTTAAGATGCTGTCAAGGTTTGTCATCGCTTTCCTCCCAAGAAGCAGGTGTTTTTTAACAATGTATGCATTTTTAATCACATACTGTATGCTGCCTCACTGTTGTTAAGTCCTATTATAATCCTAGGCCTAAATACTCTGAAGTAAGGCTCATTAGGCTAAATATCAATTGTGTCTAAGTAATCAGATAAAGGATTGTAGCCTTTGTCCCACATCAGACTTCTTTGGATTCAGCCATGGAGTTCTCACACAACATTTAGCTTTTTAGGCAATGAGCCTTGCTAAAGTATTCCAGAAGCTATTATTTTTGTTTTGCTGGTGAGTCTTGCCATTTTACTGCAGTGGAAAACTGCAAACTGTTCAAGGGTGACAGACTTCATGCTTACAGGCTCTCTCTCTTTTTGTTTATTACCAAGCTAAATCTTATGGGGGGGATCGCAGACTTTATCAAATACTTTCTCTTGACATTCCATATCTCATTCTGTCTAGCTCTCAAAGATAACTACTAGATATAATTAGGTTTTTTGAGGTTGAGTGCGAAGAGGGGAGTAAATATTTCAAATGTTGGATTAAGACAGCTATCAGGAGAGAGATGAAAATCAAAAAGTCCCTCAGGCTTTTAAGGCAGTTTAATAGCTTCATTGACTGTCCATCCATCTAAATCTTAAAAGCCATTATGTCCTTAAGATCTGTTTAACTTGCAGTTCCATTTAGCTTAATTGCAAAACATGTGGGGCAAACTATATGGCCACTCTCGCCGAGGAAACTAGTACAGAATGCTTGTCTGAGGATCTGTATCCTAATGTGTTGGGGAGAAGCTGAAAAACTAATATCTATATTAGATCATATTCTTATAGAGTTCTCTAGGCTGGATCGCCCTGTCCTATTTAGAGTAGCTTTTGTTATCGTGTGCCGTCACATCAGAACCAACTCATAACGACCCTAATCTCACTTTCAAGGTGAATGAAATATTTAAGGAGTTGTTTTGCCAGTTCAGAACAACCAGTGAGTTTCCATGGCTTTACTCTATCCACTATAATACATTGGGCATCTTAGAGTAGCCTTAGTGTTTCTCTAATCTTCACTTGGTAGAAGTTGCGTGCAATAAGCCTTCTGTACTCAGGCAAAAACCTGTTCCTGTCCTCACCCAGATGCTTCTGTCCTTGGAAACTGCTTATTGGTGATTTTAAAATGCAATAATGTTTCTTTATCCCATACAGTTTCAGTGTGTAGAAGTGGAAATGGGTAGAACACTTTTGTTGCTTATTTACCAAATTCTCGTTTTGCCCTTCTTCACAGTAGCAACCTGTGCCCCTTCAGATGCTGTTGGACTCCCATAAGAAATAAACAGCTGAGCCAAAGATGAGGGAGGATGATGAGAGTTTCATTCCAGCAATGTGTGGACAGCCACAAGTTGCCCAGACTGTACCTAGGCTATCTGAGTAGATAAGTGTCAAATGGCATGTGACATTAAATATGTCTT